GCCCTTAAGAAAAGTAAAAATGGAGCTTGGACGAGATTACCATGGCGGACATCACACGGAAGAGTTGTTCGGACGAGACTTCAGTTGTTGCAATTGCGCAAAGAGCTGACTACTTCAAGCCGGAACTGTACAGAACTGCCTTCCACTATGGGTCATGACAAGTTATTTGAACTTCCTACATGGGTTCTTTTGTGATCGGTGCAGCCTCTACAATGGCGGTGAAACTCGTCCGAGGATACACATGGTGTAATCTTTGACCCCTTATAACGCCTTACCTAGACCGTTTTCCGGCACATGTGGTGTACGATGAAGCCACAAATTTACGTAAGGGGATATCTCATAAGCCATTTTTATCGTGAACTGTGGTGCCTCTAAAGCCTTCAGTCATGTCGGTAAAAACGAGTTCAGCCTCAATCAAGGGCATGAAATCGCAGTTGCTGTCCTAAAACCCTAAAATGAGCTGATTTTGCTGCTCACTATTGCAACAACTTCATCTCTTTGACAGTTTGTTGGCGAAAATTTCAGAACAAGAGAAAAACGACTTTATTGCCTTGAACAGGCCAAAAGCATTCCAATGGAAACCGGGCGCATGGCACGTCCCCCACACCGAAATTCGGGAGGACCTGATCCATGCTCTACGGCTTCCAATTCGTGCTCTAAAAAAGGCTTAATGGTGACATACCAAGGCCAGATGAGAGGACCCCTTTCGAAAGTACAGCTTCAGGCAGCGTTTCATGAATGATGAAGCTTTTGGACAAATTGACTTTTGGATCGTCCTAGCGGTTTTCTCAATTTTGGGGCCTGGCCACTTGGTGACAAATGGGGCAGAGGTAATAGGAGAAAGCCTCAAGAAGAGGATCGCATGAAGATGGGTTTCGGAGCACATTGCGTCAGCGTGCAGCTCCGAATCTTCCAAAAAGAGCATCATCCATTCAGAGCAAATCAGGATTCGAAAACCTCTCTAATGAGTCGTTACAAATTTTGAACAAGATTTTGGTCAGGAAACCTCCAAACAACTACTTATGTGAAACAAGTAAGCTTCGGGAAGATCCCTCAGAAGTACAATTTTACAGCAAGAAGGCCGAAGCAATTCTAGAGGCGGAGAGGCGAAGAGGCGAAGATATTTTCGCACTTACTAATTACAATAAATAGTGTGGCGGTGGTGAACGAGTGGCGTTCAACTAATCTAATTTAAGGCACATGACCACGGTTTTTACGAATAACACCGGAAAATTGTTCGGGTTATCACATGCTTCTGTTGAAAAAGAAGCACTTTCGAAAATGATTTTGTGTTTTGGCTTTACCAGTTCAAACATTTGGCTCAAAGCAACGGAATGTGTAAAGGCCATTGTGTCAAATAAGTAAATCATAAAGGAAATATATTAGAATAAAGACTGGAAGCAGATTGAAGATAATGGTACAGAGGTCTTTCAATGGCAAGCATGTATTGCTATGAATTCAATGCTTATCCTACCCGAAAAGACTTTTCTACAGGCGGCACTTTCAAGCTGCTCTGTATTTACCAAAATTAGCGTAAACACATGGTATCAGACGGCTGGAGTGTCAGTGGAGCACTGTCGCGCGGAACCTTCCATACATTCGAAGACGGTTGATTTTTACCAGACTGGAGTGGGAGGACATCTTCACTGATTTGTACTTTCATGGGTCACCGATAGCCATTGTATAGATCTCATTCGCATTTAAATATCACTACGATTATGGATGCCAAAAAACTTTATCCTTTATCTGTTTATGGAAAAAATCTCCATAAATAGTTTCGATATGAGCTAAGGAGGGTTGAACGTTGTTGGAATTCCAGACGGAGAAATCAACTGGTCTAGCTTCCAACCAGCCGATCATTATTTCATTTTCTTTCAAAGTGCTTTTCTACAGAATGATGAGTCAACTGTTTCTTCCAAAACAGCACATCTCCAGAAACAGAGCGAGCACTTCATGACCCAGGAATAGGGTGTTAGTTAAAGAGGTATAACAACTAAATAACAATGCTTGTACGACCTGTTTCATTTCAAAAGTCGGTCAAGGGAAATGTTTTCAGACGCCCTTCTAGGCGAAATTAAATGAATGATTGAAAGGGTGAGCTTCGGGGAAAAACTTCGAATCAACAAGAATCTACATAGTACTGAGGAATACTCCATATTACTCCTCTGCATTAGCATGAATTGGTAGTAGTCACCTACCAATAAGCTACCGACATTTGGACACCTTCGCATTTCACCTCGAATTGCCGTATGATCGCTTTACTATGTAAGATCAAACAGTTAGTAACGTCCACAGTGAGCTGCGAAGGTGGCTACTGCTAAGTGAGCGTTTTACAACATTGAGGAAATTCGATGTGAACAAATTAGGCCTTCCAGCAGGTGTTTCGGCTTTCGTGAAAATCGAACGTAGTTGAAGCTTTGAAAGTGCCGTTCAGGCCCTACTCCCCTCCAGCCGAGGTGTCTTCTAGAAAGAGCAAAAAAGCGAAAAAGAAAAGTAATCTGCTGCAACGACTAAGCCAAATTGGACCAATCCCCATGAGTAGTCCCTCGGCGGGAAGAAAAAAAAAAGAAAAGTTTACTTTTTTACTCTGTTTTAAATCTTACATTTCATGCTTTATGCTTTAGTTTTATCAAGTAAATGAAGACCGCAACTATGAAATTAGAAGAAAAATGTAAATCAGCTGAAATAAAATAAAACAGACTGGAAACAAAATAAGTGGATTCGAGTTACCAGATGAACGAGATTTTCGAAAAAGTCCAAGTGGTATCAAGCTGATAATGTAAACTTTTTTACATTTTCCCTTTTTTTAAAAAGTATTCATAGACTGTTCGAATCATCCCTTTCCAATTGGGAGGTCT